CCCGGTCGGCAGGCGCCGAGTGGTTGCCCCAGGACTGCCCCTTGCGCCCTTGGTCCCCGCCACCCCTCGCAGGGCAACCCGGGCTGTGGGATGGCAGGACCTTCCCGTCAAGCGGCCTGGACTGGGCCAAGGTGGGAGGCGGTGTGCACATGCAAATAGCACCGGAGCATTATGGGAGGAGCCGTGCCTGGCCTGAAAGCCCCCTGCGTCCAGGGCCCGGGACCCTAAGGGCCAGGGCGAGAGCGGGACAGGAGGTGCGCTGAGGGACCTTGGCAGGGCCTCCCGCCATATCGGTGGCCCTGCACATGAGGAGGAAGGGCCTGGGCGGCCAAGTAGGGCACCTGGTGCCAAAGCAGCGCCCCCCCCCGCCGTCGAAGGCTGGTGGGCGGAGGGGCCCGAAGGAAGGCCGAGGCTTAGCCTGGGGGGTTTTGGCTCCCGGTCTTGGGTCCCAGTCGGGTGTCAGGGCAGGCACGTGCTGCCTCCGAGCCGTGGCGGGGGGACCGGGGACCCCGCTAAATGCCCTTTCACCCCTCCGTCGCTCCGTGGGGGCTTGGCACGGGAAAGTGAGCCCTCTTGGCAGGGCCTCTCAGCCTTGGCGGCGGAGCCTGTCGGATCGGGCGGGTAGCCGAGTGCGCGGCGAGCGGATCCCGTCCGGCGGGCCCCCTGCTGCCCGGGATGCGGCGGTGCTGCCTGGGGCCCGCAGGAAGGAAAAGGGTAGTGGTGGGGGCTGCAGCAGCAAGGTCCCTAGAGCCACGCGAAACATCTGTGTATAGTTCTAATTTTAGTATATGTGCTGCCAAAGCAAGCACAATTGGTTTTATGAACAGAGGTTTAGATATAGGTCCGGATTCTTTCTTTGCTCTTTGTTTTGGTGAGTATTGTGTTCCCCTAAGGGCTGGTTTGCCTCACGTGTCTGTCGTTTGTGACTCGTCCAGCATACATTTTATGTCCCTTTCGACTCTCCTGACCAACGGGTTCATTTTGGTTGAGATCGCTGTGGGGTGCAGGTGCAGGTGACGGTGTAGACCGAGGTGTGCATGCCGGGACCGCGCTGCGCTGCGCTGAGCTGAGCTGGCTCACCGTTCCCCTGCCCTTTGTTTCCGTTCCCGGCTGCTACCCGTCGCCTGTTCAACGTGGGGGAACCCGGCGCGGCGGTGCCAGCTGTAGTGGTGCGTGTGGAGGTGGCAGTTTGGTAGTTATGTGCAAGAGGCTCGCGGGTTTGTGTGGATTAGGTCCTGTTGGAGCCTGACTTTTGAAAGATGCTGCAAAAGTGGGTGGGCGGGGATTTGTCTTTTTCTAAGCCCTTTGCAAAGTCTTGTAGTGCAGCAGAGTGGCGCAGCGGAAGCGTGCTGGGCCCATAACCCAGAGGTCGATGGATCGAAACCATCCTCTGCTAGCTTGAAAATTTTGTTTTCGCCATATAGCTGTGCTTTTGGTGCGGTTTAATTTAGAGCTAAAGGTTTTTTCTCTGGCTAACCACCAAATGTGTGCAAAGTGGTTGCTGCGCACAGAAGGACTCTGCGACCCGCTCTAGCCTTGTTACACTGCTCGGGTCCGAACCCCTTACACTGCCTTTCTTGGTCAGTGCTGGTGAAGAGCCCCCCTTCCTCGGGCCGGTCATTGCACGTGGGAACGTACACCCCACGGGAAGCAAAGACACAAGGTGACCGATATGCAGTCCAAATGAAGAGAAGGTAAGAAAGGATGTAGCTCTATACACAGCCTGGCACGCACACAGACACGTGTGTACATATGTATACATACACACACGTGTGCTCATAGACATACAGACACACAGACACGTGTATACACATATACATACAGGCATGTGTGTGTATACACAGACACGTGTGCATATTCATATGCCTACATACATGCACATATGAATACATATAATGAAGATTCAGCTGATATACTTAGTCAAAAAGAATTAAGGCAGAATTGAAAGCAAGAAAATCCCATACTGTGCTAGAATAGAAAATGCAAAAGAGCCAGAAATGTTACCTAAAGAGAGAGATTTTATTGGGACAGGGCGCAGTCTTGCCATCAGGAGACAGATTAATTAAAAATGCCAGTAAAAGATGTGGACACATAAGACTGGTGCAGAATCGTGGTGGTGTGCCCTACAAGTAATGTGTTTGCAGAGTGCTGGGTACGGGGTTCCATGGTGTAATGGTTAGCACTCTGGACTCTGAATCCAGCGATCCGAGTTCAAATCTCGGTGGAACCTAAAGTTTTTGCCCCTCTTTTTAGAGGGGTGTGTCCTTTGTTCCTGTTTCACCTTCCCCGGCATGTTTCCGAATCAGTGGTAAGACTTTCAGGTTCTTGCAAAAAAGTATGTACAAGGAAGAGGCGGGTTCATTTGTTGTCGCTCTAGTTTGGTGTCATGGAGGGAAACCTACACGCGGGTCAGTACTGTCTGGACAGGGTCAGAAGCGCAAACCCACTGCCGGGGGTTTCTGTGGCTCTTGCTCAAATTCGAGCAAGTCTGTTTTCTTTGAGCTCATTGTAAGTATACTAGAAAGCTCTGGCAGCATACGAGTTATGTGAAAACGACCGGGGAAAAAGTTTTTCCGTGATTCTCTGTTGAACTTCAGCTCTGGTTTCAGTTCTACTTTCTGCACCAGCAATTTTGTAAAACAGCCGAGTCCTTTCTCCACCCGGCGCAGATTTGGGTAAGGGCTAGTTGAACCTGGCGGAAGGGATGAAGCCAGCTTTCTGTGCGCTCTGTCGATGTATTAACGCGGTACCTGAAGAAATGTCCTGACCGCTTGAACGTCTCTGGAAGTGCAGGATAAATGCAGTCCTTAAATCTTAAAGATATGCCTTTTTTAAATGGGAGAGGGAACGGTTGCTGCGCCAAGATTTAGCTGAAAAAGCAATGTACAGCTGGTGAGAGCAGACATTTGTTGGCAAAGGATATTTTCAGTATTAGGAAATGATGGATAATTAAGCCCGCAAATACACAATAGATCCCTATTATCTTCAGGGGCTGGAAGCACTGCCACCACCTGGTTCTATGGTGTAATGGTTAGCACTCTGGACTTTGAATCCAGCGATCCGAGTTCAAATCTCGGTAGAACCTGCTTTCTTTTAAGCGTTTCTGGGTTGAAGACCCACCTGTAG